ATGTTGTATCTTTTAATAGCCGGGCACCATCAGCTTTCTTCACATTTGTTTATGCACCCATTTTATTTTCAGAGATCTTGTCAGGAAGGTGAAAATAACTTTTTAAGGACAGAATGGAAATGACTAAGATATATATGTAAATATAAACTCACTGCCATCCATTCTGACTCACAGTAACCCTACAGGACAGCATAATAATGCCCCTGTGGTTTTCAGACTCTTTTATGGGAGTAAAAAGCCTCTTTTTTCTCCAGAGAAGCAGCTGGTGGTTTCAAACTCCTGACCTTGCATAACCACTATGCCACCAGGGCTGGTGTGTGTTTCAAAATGTACAGTTTTATTATGAGCCCTGTTGATATAGGTTAGATGTTGGATGGAAACCACAGGGTCGATGGTTCAAACCCACCAGCTACTCAAGACAAAGATGAGTCTTTCTGCTCCCATAAAGATCCACAGTCCTGGAAACCTATATAGCCCAGCAGTGAGTTGGGACTGAATCCATGGCAGAGGGATTCTGTGTGTGTGTTCTTCTTGACAGATCTTCAGGGTTCTTGTTCCATTACCATAGTCATGCAGGGCAGGGGGAGTCCTTCCTGTAAATTTGAAAAGTTCAGTTTTTCTTTCCCCTATTCATAAAACCAGTTTGGTATGCCACAAAGCTCTTGATGTAAAATGCCATGAAAATAAGGCGTTTTCTTAAGAGAAAGTCCCCAGCTCCTAATGGGGGACTCGAGGGACCCTTACATTGAACTCAGTATGTGGAAACCAGACCCCTAGAGACGCGCTAGGAAAACAGCACGCTTGAGATTGCTAGAACCCACTGCAGACTTGTGAACTGAATGACAAAGTCAGCATTTATGTTGCAAACCAATCTCAGGATTTAAACAGTAATTCTGATGTCAAAGCTCTTATGGGGATAAACTCTTATTGAATCAGCAGAGCCCTAAAGGGGATTGGCATTTTGCTACTTGATTTGATCAAGCATACTAAAAGGGGAATTGAATCATAATTGTTGTCTCCTCCTGACAAAACCCCACCCCTTGTGCTATCAACTAGGTACTTACACTTTGACATCCCCCTTCCTAAATCAGAAAATGTTAGAAATTGAGTTAGAAACTGCGAGGGAGAAGGACTGAGAATAGAAATCCAAGTAAGAGTAGTAGTATACAGTTATCATCTTGCACTTTGTAAGCAGTTAGTTTCTTGAGTGGTATATGTGTTGAACTATTCACCAGTGTGCTGCCCAATTCTACCTTACGTGCAGAATGAACTATTGCTCCGCCAAGAGAGTACGAGTCACCAGTGCCACCCACTGGCCGGTTATGCTGATCCTCCACAGCCCCTTGTGCTTTGCAAGGCCACAGAGACCAAAGATCTGGCCAGGGTGTGGTCAGCACAAGCACTCCCAGGCCGAAAGTACAATGATTGGTATACAGCCTTCCGGAACCCTTCCCTTCCTCATGGGCATCAGCAATGTTCCAGGCAGTCCTGTCAGCTTAATCCCAAATTGCACACTCAACAGTACCCATTATGGACGGACTGAAGGGTATGCATGTAGTGTTAGCCAGAAATCTTTGTTGTTTTAAAGCCACTGAGATTGTGAAGAGCTTTGTTACAACAGACCAGAGCTCTCCTGAAGGAGGCAAAGATACACAGTGATACTTGTCCAACAAGCTGAAGAGCCAAAAGGCTCCTGTAAGCTGGTGTGGACCTGGGGTTTACTTGCCATCAGGAAGTATATTACACATAATGTGCTCCAGATGCCAAAAAAAGCCCGTCCCTTTACAAAGCAAATGTTTTCAGAATGATGAGGGCAGCGAACATACAAATGTGCTTTACACAATTGATGTATGCATGGATTGTGATAGTTCTATGAGTCCCCAATTTTTAAAAAAAGGGGGGCCTGCCCCAATCCCAACCAAGTGGACAGCTGTCCCTCCCCCCAGAAGAATTTATTTCAGAGGACAGCACTGAATCTGCAGCTCAGGGAGAGGGACTTGTCTGATCAGAACACAAGGGAGCAAATGAGCAAATGAAGGGGGAGGAAGAGAGGGTGGAGCACATCCTGGCCCAAGTCTTGATGAGGATATTCCTGCTCAGAGCAGCCAATCCACAGAGAAGACCACCAGGCCAGGCCCACTGAGACACGACATCCCTCACTGACCCATAGCCCTACAGGGGACAACACTGGAGACACAATGTCGGAATTCTGCCCGATCTGATCCCACCGAGGCAAAACACTAAGGGTGTGCAACAGAACAGCAAGGGGAATAGAGCAATGAAGTCCCCAGGGAACACCAAAAAGACTTTGGGGACAGGGTGTGGAGCCCCATCAGACTCGACCGGAAAACACTCCTAAAGGCCAACAAACACTCCTTGAACTAACTACAAGCTTTTCTTTTTTGTTGTAGTTGTGGGATTTATTTTTTGTCATTGGCCTTTCGTTGTTAGTTTGTTTTCTTTTGTTGCTTGGTTTTGCACATGTTATTATCTCCGCAGGTCTGTCTAAATAAAATAGGTTGGATGAACAATCTGGAGGAGAAAACAATGGGACTGACAGTTTCGGGGGGACATGGGAGAGAGGGAGGTGGGGGGAAAGGAAGTGCTGCTAACAAACCCAGGGACAAGGGAACAACAAGTGATCCAAATCGGTGGTGAGGAGGGTATAGGAAGCCTGGTAGGGCGTGATCAAGGGTAATGTAACCAAGAGGAATTACTGAAACCCAAATGAAGGCCGAGCGTGACAGTGGGGCCAAAGTAAAAGGAAATAGAAGAAAAAGCTAGGAGGCAAAGGGCATTTATAGAGGTCTAAATAAAGGCATGTACATATGTAAATATATTTATATGAGGATGGGGAAATGGATCTATGTGCCTATATTTAGAGGTTTAGCATTAAGGTAGCAGATAGACATTGGGCCTCCACTCAAGTACTCCCTCAATGCAAGAATACTTTGTTCAATTAAACTGGTATTCCATGATGGTCACTTTCCCGACACACTCACTTAAGACAAAGCAGGTACATAAGCAAATGTGGTGAAGAAAGCTGATGGTGCCCAGCTATCAAGATATAAACAAGCGGCCATCTAGCTCAGAAGCAACAAAGCCCACATGGAAGGACACCAGCCTGTGTGATCAAGAGGTGCCAAAGGGATCAGGTTCAGTCATCGAAGAACAAAAAATCATATCATTGTGGAAGGGGGAATGCAGAGTGGGGACCCAAAGCCCATCTGTAGGCAATTGGACATCCCCTTACAGAAGTCTCAGGAGGAGACGATCATTGTAGCAACGATGAAACCTACAACTTTCCTCTAGTTCCTAAATGCTTCCCCTCTTACTCCCCCCCCACCCCCCATGATCCTAATTATACCTTACAAGTCTGGCTAGACCAGAGGATGTACACTGGTACAGAAAGGAACTAGAAACACAGGGAATACAGGACGGATGATCCCTTCAGGCCCAGGGGTAAGAGTGATAATACCGGGAGGGTGGAGGGGGGGCGGGGGTAGAAAGGGGGAACTGACTACAGGAATCTACATATAACCTCATCCCTGGGGGACGGACAACAGAAACGTGGGTGAAGGGAGACATCAGACAGTGTACGACATGACAAAGTGATAATTTATAAATTATCAAGGGTTCATGAGTCAGAGGGGAGCGAGGAGGGAGGGGGGAGGGAGGGGGGAAAACACGGAGCTGATACCATGGGCTCAAGTAGAAAGCAAATGTTTTGAGAATGATGATGGCAACAAATGCACAAATGTGCTGGACACAATGGGTGGATGGATGGTGATAAGAATTGTTCGAGCCCCCAATGAAATAATCTAAAAAAACAGAAAGAAAGCCTCTCATTTCACAAAGCAGCTGAGGGCCCTTCCTTTCAAAGCAGCTCTCAGAGTCGGAGGGCAAACAAGCTCTCTAGTGGACTGAGTGCTAAAGTGCTAAAGGACAGCCAAGCCCTGCCTATCATGAGGAATCGCACTTCAGTTCTCCAGACAGACAAGGAGTTTAATTTGCAAGTGTACTTTTTACACCAAGGCTGGAAATCACTACGTCAAAGTTCCCGACTAGTTTTTGAGTGGAGGCCCGGTGGTGCCTGGCTTACAGGTTGGCTGCTCACCGCACAAGAGGAGGTTTTCCACTCCCAGAGGCACAGTCTTCCTTAAGTCTTGAGACAGTCACTGGATTATTGGTTCCAGGGAGGTCTGGCGGGAGAGGTTGGGGGAAACAGGAGCTAGTAACAATGAGTACAACAAAGAAGAAAACGTTCTAAAATGGACAGTGGTGATGACTGCACAACTCTTCCTGATTGAGTTATTAAACTAGATGATGTGAATTATACACCACTAAAATTGCTGGGCAGGGGGAAGAGCCACAATCTTGGAAACCCATAGGGGCAGTTCTCTTCTTCCAGGGTCACTCAGAACAGCCTCAGTATAATGAGCACTAGTCTTTGGACAATGGCTTTATTACCACTAGAGGGAGCCAGTTGCTCTTTTGTCCCTGGTTTTCTGACTGGCAATGATCAGGGGAGAGAAGAAATTAATTCTAGTCAAGCCACTTCATTTCTGAACATAAAACTGTGCTGGTGCCAGGTAAGCTGGAACAAATCATTTGGTAAATTCTAAAATGCACATTCCCAGGAGTCACATAGGCTGTGGAGTAGGGTGGGCAGTAGGGTTCAGAAATGTGTGCTAAGCTTTAAAAGCTCTTCTCATCGGGTACCTGGACAGTGCTTTGGGATAAACACTAGACTGCCAACTGAGTTCTACTCTGCCCTACAGAGTTGCTAAGAGCCAGGATCAACCGGATGGCAGGGCAGTGTGTTGGGTTGGTTGGTTCGCTTTGGCCTGAGGTTGGCTTGATGCAGGGCTAGGTGTGGTGCCACTGGTCCTTATCTGCAGGGCGTTTCTGATCGGGATCCCCAGCTGAGCACAACAGACCATCCCCACAACCGCACTTCAACAAAACCCTTCACAGTAATCCGCACAGAACAAGTCAAGTATCTTCAAATTTAAATTTATTAAGACATTCAACTATGTCTGTCAGTCTACATCCAAATTTACTACTAAAAAGAAAATAAAGTCACATCCCACATTAGGAATACCAAGTCTGAAAAACACTTTTTGAGTCAAGCCTATTGTATAAATAAATGACTAGTTTCTTTTCATATCAAAATCCCCATAAAAAATTACATTGCCCCCCTCCCCGATTCTACCTGTAGCCATGATGAATGTAAAAATTTAAATAGGACATATCCTTGTCAAAGAAAAGGTGCAAAGTCTATTAACAGCTTCAAAAGTGGCATTTGCAGAGTGTGATCATACAGGTATGTACTCATTCCCAAAGTGCAAATATTGCCAGAGTTTAACACTGTTTTGATCCAGTTGCAAGAATTAAGCATCACACAGGATTGAAAAGTACACTGGGGCCTTTATCAGTGCCCTAAAGCCCTTCCCACTTCAGTCTGCCTGAGTTCGTGCAGGCTCCAAAGTGTTCACCAGAGCTTTAGTTTACTTCACACAGCCAACACAGTGTAGCCTATTAACAAAAGTCTCATCTACACTGAAATATTGAAGGCTCCATCATCGAGTTCCAGAGCCTCAGATTACATGAACGTACCCGCAAGGCTAGGGTCCGCCCGCCCCAGCCGTAAAGCACGTCGGGACTATGAGCGTGCTCCAATCTTTGAATACAATCAGCGCCTTTACATCTTTGATTTCATTTCAAGTGCTGTACAAATCTCAAAATCGCCTGACCGAGCCCCCAATTCAAGTGAGGGGTGGGGTGGAGAAAAGGGCTCCTGTCCTGCCCAGAACGGAAGGTCCGCTCCGCTTCTGCCTGCTGCCTTCTCCCGCGCCACCCCGCTGCTGCCGCCTGCCTGTCCTGGGCCCCTTGCACACACTCCAATCTCATGGATTCCTTGCACACCGGGGCAGTATCTGAAGTTATTGAGGATGAATTTCCTTGGCAAACCTCTACAAAACACCAGCATAGAAGAAGAAAATACATTTTGATTAGCACACATTGCAACATTTCTTCCAGGGTCCAGGGGGATGAAGCAGGTGGCCTCCACTTAGCGAGCATATTCTGGGTCAGATCCTTGGAATGTCAGTCTCCCGCCTGATGGCCTCATGTGTTCCTTACAGCTGAGCACAAATCCCATCTCAAGTTAGGTTCTCCTCCACAACATGTCAGCATCATTCCTGCTTCTTTTCTTCTGGGCTGGCTCCAATAGGACCTGTTCCGTCTTTTGCCCTGAGCGGACATTCCTCAGGATTCAAAGTCTCTTCCTGGCTATCTGTTCTTCTGGCAATGCACTTGTTATTGTCACTAGGCCCCTCGTGGACACAGGCCTCTGTAGGCTGCTCCTGCCCTGGGGGTTCAGTACCTTCACCTTCCTGATGCCCATTTTGCTCGGCGCCGGCAGCAGCGGCAACAGCAGCAACAATGGGTTCAGAGGCTAGTCCTGGGAGCTGGGAGGAGTTCTTCAGGTGGCAGTGGCACAGGGGACAGGTCTCCTGGACATACAGCCATTTCTTGAGACAACCTGCATGGAAGAAATGACTGCAGGGTGTGATCACAGCAGATTTCATGTCCTGGAAAAGAAAAGGAAGAAAGGTAGGTCCTAAATGTCTCTTAGAAAGAATTTTTGGTACTACCCTCCAATGCTCTATGTCTAGTATTTCTTTCACACAAAAGGAAACGTGTCAGCACAGGTCTTGAAGTAAAACTCATTTGTGTATTTGCAATAGAATCCTCTTGCCATCAGAGACCCCTTAATCTTATAATATAGGAACCACTGGCTAAGCAGTTTTTAAAACACAAAAATCTACAGAGGGGAAGAAATTGTCTTCTTCAATTGGCTCTGGCTTGGTTCAAGGGCCACAAGCTACTTGGTCCAAGGGCCACAAACTGCTTGCAGCAGTTTGATTACTGGGTCTTCCCTGGGGTGGCTGGTAGCAGCATACTGACAGTCCAAGGTTATCTGAGGGAGACAGAACTTTCCTACTTACACTTCTATACAGCTAAGCAGATGCCTCTGAGGAGATTATCTGCAAGGAGACCAGCATGGCAGCCACGCAACACCAGGGCCTTGGCAAGGAAGTGCGATGACAGTAGAGCCAGCATACACCTGCTTTTCTAGGCAGGTCTGTTTACGGTGCTGTCTCTCAACCTGGAGTACTTGTTAGCAATGCATAATAGGGGCCCATCCAGACCTACCTATGGGACAGACACGTGGTGATGGGAGTGCCAAAGCTACAGTTAAAGCAAGCCACTCAGGTGCAGCTGGTGCACACTCGACGTTGGTATCCACTGCAATAGAGGGCATACTTTACATTCCTCTCTCCTGGAACAGGAGAGCTGACAACATGAAGTTAAGGAACATGAAGTTAAGGCGGTAAACACACACATAGTGGTGAATCACCAAGAGCTTTGTTTAAAGCTCCCAAACAAGACGTTGTAGCTCTTCCAGAAGTTCCTTGCCAAGAACTGGTGCCACCTGGAAATCACCGTTAAGCAGAAAGCCGTGCAAGGACAGCAGCAGCTAGGAAGCCAAGCCATCTGAAGCCCGGTTTTCTAAGTGACACCAGCAGGTAGTTCCAGCACTTCAAAAAGTGATGTGACAAAAGCCAGTGCAAACAGAGGACCCTGGCACCCCGAGACGGAACCCTACATGAAGTCCCACTGGCCCCGCTGGGATGACGCAGGCACGCTTACAGCCTCAGCCTGCCTCCAGCCCCGGAAGCTGGTCAGCTGTAACCTGGTTTTGGAATGGTTTGTTCTGAGTACAACGAGGCTGCCTCGCCAACATTAAGGAGCTGGAGTTCATATTAACAATGAAAACAGAATCGAGAGAATAACTACTTAATTGGCAGGAACTATAAATACAAAATAGAAAAACAGACCCTGGAAAACTTGGAGTTAGTACCCCTTCAAATGTGTTTATTTTTTTAAATGGTAATTCCATGCTGCTACTAGAAGCTTCTACAAGGGGCCGGGTGGCATCTTGGTAACGTGTTGGGCTGTTAACTGCAAGGTCAGCAGTTTGCAACCACCAGATGCTCTGCTTTCTACTCCCATAAAGAGTTATAGCAGTCTTAGAAACTCACGGGAGCAGTTCTACCCTGTCCTATATGTGGCTACAAGCTGGCATTTGACTCAATGGAAATGATTATGGTTTGGTTTAGGTATTACAAGTTTCCAATTAGTTCAATCACACACATACACATGCGCACCCCATGTAAACTATAAAGGCAGCCTTGGAAAATGAGCATGCCCTATGCACTCCCAGCCGAAACCTGTAGCTCCAGTCCACCCACCCGACCCACCGCCTGCAATCTAAAGAGATGGATGGACACCGCTTGTGTCACTGCTCACAACGTCTGTCTACACTCTCTACACAAAGTGTAAATGTTGCTGGTCAACCACCCTCATCAGATGCCCAGGTGAGGGGTGTCAAAACTACAGGACTCTTGCTGTTCTGTTTCCAAGTTTTCTCTGTGCTGCCTTTAATACTTAAATTCAAGACAGTCATAGTCTATGGGCACCAAACAGGTTGCCTCTGCCACAGCCCTTCCTTCCAACACACAAAGGCTCCTTCCTGTCTCAGAAACCCAGCCGCTTTTCTCCACCTACAAAGAGTAAATGAGCTCTTCTTCCCCAGCCCAGGAAGACTAGAAGCCAAAGAATCAAAATCTTGGCACACCACTTTTCAGAAGTTGCCGACTCATGACGGACAGTATACATTTGGATAGTACATAGGCATGTGAGTACAATCAGCACTAAGTATAAAATATACCTGACCTGTTTTTCCTTTATTTATGGGTGAGCAGTAATGTTGAAAATAACAATACATTAGAACTTGAAAGATCAAAATAAAAGCTTACTTTAGAAATAAAATGGAAATATTGTCTGTTCTATAAAACTTAGACCCATTTTTAAAAAAATTTAAAGTTGAGTTTGATGACCATAGTGGAAGCACCAAAGGACACACCCACATGCCACCCACGTGACTCTTCTCGAGGCCCTCACCTGGTAACAGATGGCACAGATATCATTGTGTTTCTCAAGCTGCTCTTTTGTAGCAACAGGCAATGATTTGATCTTATTCACGGCATCTCTGCGGAGAAGAAAGCTCTTCCAGCCCAGTTGGGCCCGAAGCCACACATTATAGTAGGAATGGATGAAGATGATCATAGAGCCCATCACTGTCCACTCTCCAAAGATGGTCTCCGAGACGCCATAGGCCACCACACACAGGGCCACCAGGAACTCCAGCAGGCGGTAAGTGCCATTCACATAGTAGATGACATCATCCATGTTCTCCACAGGCTCTTTCCTGAACTCCTCAACCATAAATAAGACATAAATAAAAAGTGTTCCCAGAACCTGGAGAAAGAGGAGTATATATATTATGACTCAAAACCAAGTACATTTTCTCAGATTTCCAACAGCCTTGCTAATGTTAAGGCGCTACCTTTAAGACCTGAAGAGAGAGCACTGAGCATTAAAATGTGGGTGTTTTAATAATCCAGGTATTCGATATGAAAAAGCCATGTCTTAGGTCTTAACTTTCCCCAAAGCCGCGCAATCCTCACGAGTCAATAGTTTCCTGTTCACCCTTCCCCTATTCATTCGCCAGGTCAGTAAAGCCCGTCAACGCTTTCATTCTCCTAATCCCGCGGTCATCATTCTTGTCCAACTAACTCCAAAATGTCTTTCTCTCGACAAGAAACACGGAACAGATCCATCTTTACTGCCAGTGCTTGAAAAAAACCCAACCTTTTCCTGATCTGGAGGCAAAGATCTACTATGACAATAAGTTTCTCATTTCTAGGGAAGTATATTGTCATGTCCACCGATCTATATGCAGGCAGACAGATTCTAATTACATACATCATAAAACTATAAATAACTTATGAATGGGCATTAATAAAAATAATGCACTGGAGAACTGGCTCAAACATCTTTTAGTGTTTTTCAATGACCAGTTTCATATTTGTATACAGCTCTGCATATCATTTTGAAAGAGAAACAGAAACGCTTAACTTAATGGAAAAACAGTGATGCAGATGCATACATTTTAATAACCTGCCTTCCAACTTGCATGCTCAGATAAATACAGCAACTCTTAGTTAAAATCTTTGGGGAAGGAACCCTGAGTCGGCCACTAACAATCACTGAATTTTAAAACTATCGATTCCTTTATCAAGAGGAAAATGAAGAAAATCAGACATAATGTAGCTCTCTTTCTCCTGGGCTTACCTACCTGAAGAGAAGTAAGGATGCTGCTGGAGATAATGATAAGAAGCCAAAAATCCATGTGGAAAAACTGGCAAATCATATAAGCCATGTAAGCAGGGAAAACCAGCAAAAACAAACACAGGCTCACAGCACGGAAGTGTTTCCACAAACTCCTGGGGAGAGAGAGAGAGAGAGAGATGATTCTTTTCAAGTGTTAGTCACCAAGTCGCGCCACAGTGACACCAGCAGCAAACAGTGCCGGTGCCCGGATGAAATCTCAGTTATTTCCTGAGCACCATCCCCTGGCCACTCACTGCACAGGCTTGGGAGCAGGCCCAAGGCTCTGCATTTCAAAGGGGCTGGCTACCCCCACCCTGTGCTCCACACCCATTTAGTTGCCAAGTAGCACCAATCCTTCCTTTCTTAATAGCTGGTTTGCAAGTCCACTGCCATTCTGGTTGATTCCAAACTACAGACTGAAAAGTCACAATTTTAAAAGCAATGTTCCCAATTTGCCCAGGGAGACTTGATCAGAGTAACCAAGGGGCTTTGTCAAGTTATCTGACACCCTCTCTGCACCAGCTCCACGCGGAGATGAGACTCTGCTACGGTGACACACGCACATTCATCCTCATATCTGCTGAGATGGGGGTGCAGGGGATGGATAAGACCCACTGCACTGTCAGATCTACTGAGCACCTGGCCTATTCTGAACACTGCCAGCCAGATTCACCTGATTCCATAACAATGTCAACACCTTCTCTAAATGTCCTAGCCTGGCAGCCAAGATCCTCTGGATTCTGGCTCCAATCTGTCATCCTAAACTTGCAACACCTGTTCCTCACTGGAAGCCAAGCTGATGGAATTCACTGTTATAGCAAAATACAGATATGCTTGCATCCCACCAGAAATGCCTCTGTCACGCCCTCCATTTCTGTCAATCATTTAAGCCAGTTCAGGCTAGACAAACATATATTTATATATTTCTCCAAGAACTATCTGCTCTCTTTAACACCTGTACCAATCAGTCACACATTGAATTATAGCATTTAATAGATGTCTTAGCCCTCGCTCCTGTTTTAAGTTCCATGAAAAAGGGTGGGGGGAGCTAACTTTATCACGTACCTCACAGTTCCTATTAAGTACAAAGGATTGTCTGAGATAGGTGCCAAATAACACCATAACAGTTCTACTTGGATATTTTTCTAATCACTTTTTATTAGTCCATTAATATAATCCTTCTAGTCACAATTCCGTCTGTGATGTAATTCTGCACTGGATACACCTGTAGTCCCATTATGGAAGGTATCCTCTCCTAAAGGGCAGGGACAGGCTGAGATTAGGGCCTGACGTTAGTACAGAGTGTGAACAAGGCTACGCCCTTTGTTTCCGTATCATCTTTACTCTCCTGTACTAGAGGGCGTGCCTGATGGCCCCATCCCATTTTGCTTACATATATATACTGGTAGCACCGTACAGTTCTAACACTCGTGGTCTCAGCTGGAAAGCCAGACTTCTATTTCCTGACCGAGTCTTGGTAGAAGCCAGAAGAGCTGCTTCTACATGATTTTTGGATGTTTCTAGCTCTCGACCCAGCATTTGCCTTGCCTCGGTCTAACTGCCAGATTTTGGACAGAATAGTATCCCATCACCACTCGAGACTTTTTGTCAAAGTTTCGTGAGTTTCTGTGGGACGTCGCAGTGAATCACAGGATACCGCGGGAGTGGGGGAATGAAGTAGAGTAGCATCATGGAAGACTTGGGCCTGTCTTGTACTAATTCTTTTAAAATAAATCCTTACCACATCCATCGATTTAACCATCCACAGAGTCCTATGAGATAAATGGAATTGTTTGTCTTAACTTTATTTTTAAAGCATATAACAAATTAAACAATCCACCAAAACCTAACTTTGTTGCTAATAGTGAAATACATATGTAGAACTACCAATGGTTTAGAATACAGTAAGAAATGACAACCCCCCCAAAAAGAAAAATGATTCCCTAAATATATCCCAAGTTAAGGCATACTGTATATTAATTTCTAAAAGTATATAAAATTCCTCCCTAACAAATACCCTAAACAGATACTTTTTCTCCCCTAAAAGTTTCTTCCTAAGGCATTTATTTTATACATCCCCAATTTCAAGAAATGGATAATTAAAGGCCTTATTACTATCACAAGAATTTTTAAGATGCTATTATCATCTAACAAAATATCATGTATTCACATACAATTATATTAGATTTTATAAAATATGGCAAAAAAAATTTTTAATCATTTTATTAGGAGCTCATACAACTCTTATCACAATCCATACATACATAAATTGATCAATTGTACATTCATTGCCCTCATTACATTCATTGTCCTCATTATTCTCAAAACATTTACTCTCCACATAAGCCACTGGCATCAGCTCAATTTTTCCCCTTGCTCCCGAACCCTTGATAATTTATAAATTATTATTTGATAGGGCAGAAAAATTTATAGGAAAAAGGGTTCCTAGGGGATCAGGCGGGGGAGGAGATAAAGCGGAGCCGATTATCAGGGAGTTCAGGAAGAAAGAAACGTTTGAAACTGATTGTAGTAGCAATTGTACAATACTGCTTGACATGATTGAAACATGGAATGTTACAATATCTGTAAGAGCTCCCAATAAAATGATTTAAATAAATAAATAAAAGATATTGTTGTTTTTCTTAATGGTCACAAATCTAACAAGAAATCAGCAAGACCCAAAACAGAGCTTTCCCCTTTCTTAAAAACAAAACTCAATTCTAATCTTTATATAGATAGAATCTCTATTATTTTTTAGAATCATTTTATTGGGGCTCATACAACTTTTTAAAATCATTTTATTGGGGTTCATACAACTCTTATCACAATCCACACATACATCAATTGTGTAAAGCAACATACACATTCGTTGCCCTAATTCTCTAAGTAGAGTATTATTTAATGATTTTGTTTAAAATACAAATACAGATTATTTAAAACTATTATCAGAAAATTTGAGTTTCAACCAAAATAGCTTAAAGCTCATGGCTACAAAAAAATTAAACTGCTTTAATTAAATATCAGCATCCTTGATATGTTTTTAAACCATCTCAAGGAGACACAGTAGTAGCGTCAACTCCTCTTTTAGACCTTTATTATATACAGGTGGAGAACAAAAATCAGTGACACAAAGCAAAATGCCACACCTTCACCTATAACCAGTAGCTCAGAGAACAAAGTGAAACATCATGGGAGACATTGAAACAAAGTGCTGTGGAGACTGTTTCAAACCTTAGCTAACAAGCACTTCTAGTACCGAGTCGCAGGACAAGGAGCTGCTCTGCTTTGACATGCACAGAACTGACAGGAATCTTTTTTAAGGCGGGCATCATGTACAGTTGGTGAATTATAGGTGATCGTCTGTAAATGAAGTGATTTGCCTTAAAAGTTTAAATATATTTTCAGTAGTTAGATATGGTCCTTTTATCTGAAACATGCATGTAATTACCATCTACACAAACACACACAACCTGTAACTTCACTATCATGTAGTTGATTCTGGCTCATAGTGATCCTATAAGACAAAGAACTGCCCCTGTGGGTTTTCAAGACTGTAGCTCTTTATGGGAATAGAAAGCTTCCTTATGGTAGTTTTGAACTACTGACCTTGAGGCTGCCAACCCAACGTGTAACCAAATACAGCATTAGGATGCCTACATACACTGGGGTTAGGCATTTCAAGCAAGCCAATCTCAGACCCATGTGGGTGAGAGGTGGGACAGAGAGGATGAGTGCACAGGGGACAGACACCTCACGACCACTAAGACTGATGGAGCCCCAGAGGAACACATCATTTGGGATCCTACACTGAGCGCCACCTAGATTCAAGAGACAGAGAGAGCTGTAACATCAGAGAATGTGTGAGGCAGTGAGAAGTGGCACCAGCCAAACCGAGAAAGCAGTGCAAGGCTGCGTGGTGGGCTTTCCTAGCCCAGAGCATGTGGCAGTTACTGTGGGCATGCCAGTCCACAGCGCAGGGAAGCCGACTCCAGGCCTAAAGCTTAACGTAGCACCTATATCAGAGGTGCTGGTCGTACGACTCAGGGAGTGAGAAAAAGACAGTTTGGGCAAGTACCTTGCTAACACAGTGGGGTGCCCATGGGCAGAGGCCAGTCCAAGAGAGGCCTACCCTGAGGGGAACCAAGAGGAGTTGAAAAGAGCCGTACTCTCTGCCTGATGCGGATACTGGATTGCAACCTGCTACTCCCTTAATACACCCCTCCCTTTGGGTATGCTCTGTGAGTTGTGTGGCCAAATCAGATGCAGCAGAGAAATAGAGTGTGTGGAAGAAGATGGCTGGTGTCAATACTAGTATGCGCCGATAAAAAGTGGCCACCAATTCAGAAGCAACAAAGCCCACATGGAAGAAGCACACTAGCCTGTGTGATCATGAGGTGTCGAAGGGATCAGATATCAGGCATCAAAGAACAAAAAAATCAAATCAATGTGAATGAGAGGGAGTGCAGATTGGGGACCCAAGACCCATCTGTATTCAACTAGACATCCCCTTACAGAAGAGTCACGAGCCAGTCAGGGTGCAGGGTAGCAATGATGAAAAATACAACTTTCCTCAAGTTCTTAAATGCTTCCTCCCCCCACTATCATGATCCCAATTCTACCTTACAAATCAGGCTAGAGCAGAGGATGTACACTGATACAGATAGGAACTGGAAACACAGGGAATCCAGGACAGGTGATCCCTTCAGGACCAGTGCTGAGAATGGTGATACCGGGAGGATGAGGTGGAAAGGGGGAAGTGATTGCAGGGATCTACATAAAACCTCCTCCCTGGGGGATGGACAACAGAAAAGTGAGTGAAGGGAAATGTCAGAGAATGTAAGGGATGAAAAAAATAATAATAACTTATCAATCATTAAGGGTTAATAAAGGAGCGGAAGCAGGGAGGGAGGGGGAAAAGGAGAAGCTGATACCAGGGACTCAAGTAGAAAGCAAATGTTTTTAAAGTGATGATGGCAACTAATGTACAAATGTGCTTGACACAATGGGTGGATGTACGGATTGTGATAAGGGTTGTAAGAGCCCCCAGTAAAATGATTATAAAAAATTCGTATGCGGGCTGGAGAGCAGAGGTATGTTCAATTCCCACCTCAAA